TCACACCTTTTTTTACTAATTTAAAAAAAATAAAAGTGTTGCCCCACAAACCCCAAAACCCCCCACCAAGATTTTGTGTGGGGGAATTTTGGGGGAGTTGAAGTCCACACATCTTAAAGTTGCTAAAGTTGAGAAACAGTGTGCTAGACAATATTGAAAAGCTAAGCAGGATCGGACCAAGTTAGACTATCAGGAAATCCCATGCCTGTAGGCTAGATTGGGAAGTGGGAAAAAAAAAAACCTGAAGAATGCAATGGCAAGCCACTTCTGTATGTTGCCAAGAAAACGGCATGTACATAATCACCAGGAGTGGAACAGGACTCCAAGACGTTTTTTAACCTGAGCAACTTGAAGATGTGTGGACTTCAACTCCCAGAATTCCCCAGCCGGCATGCTGGGAGTTGAAGTCCACACATCTTCAAGTTGCCCGCGTTGAGAAACACTAACATCTTGCACCCCTTCCCCCCCCACGCCTTAAAATTCAAGTTCCCAGCAGCCCGACCCCTATTGGCCACTTAGAAGAAACCGCCTTTCCAGAGCCTCTGTTCCTTCTCGGGCACACTTGTCTCGCGAGAGTTTCTTCGCGGGGATGCCTAGCAAAGCAAACCCGACTCTGGTGGGCGCCGCCATCTTGTTTCGGCGGAGCTTGAAAAGGCGCTTCCGGGTGAGCTTGTCGGTCGGCGTTGTTGGTGTTGAGAGGTCTGCGCGGTTAGTCTTCTTAGCCTTTGTTTCGACGGGAGGTTGAGACGAAGAGCCGTCCCGATGGCGGTGGAGTCTCGCGTTACTCAGGAGGAGATTAAAAAGGAGCCCGAAAAGCCGATCGACCGCGAGAAGGTACAAAGGAGGAGCTGAAGGCGGTGGGGAGAATCGGCTCCGGCTGGCTTGTCACTTGGCCCGCGTGGGTAGTGCTGCATTCATGTCGCAGCGGTGGGTGCCAGACAAGCAAGCCTTGTTCATCCTCAGATTTTTTAAAAATGATCAATTGAAGGTGAAGGATAGCTGAACGTAGGAAAGCATTCTTGCAAAGCGGGTAGAGACTTCACGCACTTTCATCTCTGGTCGCCAGTTTATGTGGGAAAGCCGTCGGGTGTTTTCCAAGATGCGCTTCCCTGCCGTTATGTCTGCCGTGGTCTACTGAAAACGCTTGTGCCACGAGCTGAAGCGTAAATTAACCCCATGGGCTGGGTTTTGTACCTTGTACGAGGTTTAAAATGTGGTTGGCTGATTTGTGGCTCTTTGGGTTGTGTGAACATGGCAATTAAATGATGCTTACTTACCTATCAGCCTGGACGGAGTCTCACTCTGCCGCCTGTGGTTTCTAAATATGCGTCTATCATACACAGCCTTAAAGGTAAAGTCTCATTCAAGTCAAGCTTTATTCCTGATGAGTTTCTGGGAATGGCCATGTAATTTTCTTGGCAAAAATATGAGAATGGACTTTGATTTCTCAATCTAACCTACATATTTGGGGTATCCTGTGGGTTTCCCATCTAAGTGGCAATCAGATATGACCTTGCTTATTTATAGGCTTAATGCATAATAAGTATCATTGGGCCTGGTAAATCTAGAAAAGTTTGTAATCTTCCTTTTTTTGGCAAATAAGAGTATGAAAAAGGCCTACGTACCATCTAACAAAACATTCTAAAAATTTTAGTTAAGAGTGTATTTAAACTCAGAAGTACTGGTATCTTCACTTACAGAGCTACAGTAATTACAGAGTAATTGACATGATAAGCCATCCATCTGCATTTGCAAATTCAACATCTTGTTAAGCTGATTTGGATTTGCTAGGCTTGGTTACTGTATTCTGTTAGTCAACAAAGACTTCTGATACAGTACAGTAGTTGAAGAATCAAATATTACATGGACTCATGAGATGAGAGAAGGTAATTTGTGTTTGGAGATCATCTTAGTAGAAAGGCATAAAGTTCTGCCATTGGTTTGAGCCAATTCTGTGTTGTTTATGAAGATGTCAGAAGTATTGTTTAAGGAAGGCAGTAGATTTTAAATTAAAGTCTTCTAAGTTTTTGCATATCCCAAGCAGGCTGGAGAAGTATACTAGCTGTGAAGTTGGTAACTTGGAGAGAGAATTCTGTGGTGGGGAGGGGAAACAAAATCACAAATAGATTCCCTCCTTTTTTTTCCACTGGTTGTGAACAGGCTTTGAAAATTCTCTCTTCGGGATGATAGGATTCTTGGGTTAAATACATTATATTCTTTTTCTGCTCCTCCGTGGAAACTTCTTACTAGAATTTTAAAACGCATTAAATCTCAGAAAGCTGAATCAAGATTTTTTATTTAGCTACAGTTTATATTTTTTTGTAAGCCAACTTAATCAAGAGAGAGAAATTAAAAAAAATTGATATAAAATAACAATCAGTCACAAATGGTATAAATACAATTAAGACAGGCTGCTTGCTTTGCAGACTTGTCCCCTGTTGCTGAGGGTCTTCACGACCAACAATGGGCGTCATCACCGAATGGATGAGTTTGCCCGTGGAAATGTACCTTCTAGTGAACTTCAGATCTACACATGGTGAGTGATAGTTTCTGCCTGTTTAGGTACTGTTTGCCTGTATCTCAAAAATGCATTGAAAGCATATGAATAGTATTATTTATGGTATGATAACAGAAAAGGGTTGCTGCTTTTTTTAATGGACAAAAGTTCTGATAGATGAAAAGCAGAAAAATTGAGAAAGTTACGCCATTTTATGTCTTTCATATTAATGGACACAATTTGTAGCAGTGGAAATTACACTTTAGTGAGATGGAGAGACTTACATGGAAAACAATGTGAATCTTGCCATGTTCACCAAAGAAAGAAGTCAGTGCCTAATTTGTTTGTAGACTTGTCTCTTGCTGATTTTTTACAAATCTAGTGGTTGATAGATGTCTTGGTTAGGCTTCAAAAGACGGAAAACAAGGTTATACATATTTCATTGTATATTCCTAAATAACAAAAGATCTGAAAATTAATCTCTGAAAGACCAGAGTTGTTGTGTTTGAGAGGGGAAAAAGACTATGATTGCAAATTATAAGTGGTTACTAGAGCAAATAGATGATTTGTATATTCTGTTTGAATGGTTAAATGCATGGAAAAATTATGTCATGCAAGTGTTCGTAGAAAGGCAGTGGTTAGTATGTGGTAGAATTAATGTTTGTCAAAAGAAGCAAAAATATAAGTGTGTTTCTGACCACTTGGTTACTTGGAAGTGACCTGGGTATATCAGGAGAACCATAAAAAGAAATTGAATATGATGGGAATGGGGTACTTCTTAAGTAAAATAAGGAGGATCAAGATTGAATGTGCATTGAATTCAAAAGTGAGTTTGATACAAAATAAGTAATTTGAGGTAGCTTTCTCTTATAGAATGAACAAGGACCAACTTGCGCAACAAATATTTATTTATTAAATTTGTATGCTGCCCATCTCCTCCAATGGGTGACTCTGGGCAGCTCACAATTAAAACCAAAAACCCACGAACAATTAAAAAATACCACATAGATAATTAATCCATTAAAAAGACAAACTGTAAAAAAAAAAACCCTATACATAAATACTAAAAATATTCAAGATGATGAGGGAGGCAAAATCAGTTACCCCACAAGCCACTTCCACTGATGCGAACCCCCATCCGGCCCCCAGGCCTTCTGGCATAGCCAGGATTACATGATAGATAGATAGATAGTTATGATAGTTATGCTAGTTATGCTAGCTATAGATAGCTATAGATAGCTATAGATATGATAATATATGAAAGATCAGTAACTTAAAAGGAAGGGGAAGACCAAGAAAATATACTTGAATGGAGCTGAGACTCTCAAAACAGAATAGGTGAGAAGTTTGAAGGATCTAAGGTACAGGTAGTTCCCAGTTTAATAATGAGTTCCATTCCTGAGGTCTGTTTTAAGTCAAATTTGTATGTAAGCTGGAACAGTATTACAGGTAGTCCGTGCTTAACGACCACTTGTTTAGTGACCATTCAAAGTTACAACAGCACTAAAAGCTACTTATGACCAGTCCTCACACTTATGATCATGGCAACGCCCCCCCCCAGTCATGTGATCATAATCTGGGTGCTTGGCAACCAGATTGGACTTATGATGGTTGCAGCATCCTGCGGTCACGCGGTCGCCATTTGCGACCTTCCCAGCCAACTTCCAGCAAGCAAAATCAATGGGGAACCATGTGATTCACTTAATGACTGCTGCAAAAATCATAAAATTGGGTGCAGTCATGTGATGCTTCACTTAACAATGAATTTTCCAGTCAGTATTGTGGTTGTTAAGCGAGGACTGCATTTATTGTATATTACTATATAAGTAGTATTGTGTAATGAACTTGAACCATTGTGTACTTAACTCGAATTTTGCTACAATAGCTCTGTTCTTAACTATGGGTTGTCCTTAAACAGGATGTTCTTGACCTGGGGACTACCTGTAGTGGTGTATGGACATGTTGGAAGCAAAGATGGTTTGCAAAGACAGAAAGATATGGAGGGCTATAGTGTATGGTGCTGATGTAGGCTAAATTTATTTTATTCCCTGTCTTTAATTTCCTTTGTTTACAGCTGGTGAGAGACAATAGCATGATGGGTATATGTGTGCCTTTCTACATGAATGCTCTGCAAAAAGAGCTAAGTGATAATTAGAATGAAGGCCTAATGACAAAGGAAAATACAAAATATCTGTGTGCTCTGGTACTCACATAATTTGGGAGTTCAAAGGAAGATAATTTGGAAAATATGTTTATCACCGGAAGAAACTGAATATTTGTAAAATATTTAATGGGAAATATGTTTCTTGATACAAGACTTTCCAGTTCCGTGAATACTTAAGTTCTTAGAATTAGTACCATAAAGTAAGAATCCATACTTACTAAACTGACCTTGAATTTTTTTCCCTCCAGGATGGATGCAACTTTAAAAGAGCTGACCAGCTTAGTGAAGGAAGTCTATCCAGAAGCAAGGAAGAAGGGGACACACTTCAATTTTGCAATAGTTTATACAGATCTTAAAAGGCCTGGGTACAGGTAATACAGTTGATAACCAAAGGTCTACAGTGTGTTTATTAGCAAGGTTTTTAAATTGTAGCATGTAATAGAGAACAAAAATTCATATAATGCTGCAACCTGAACTTAGTGCTCATAGATTAAAGAGTCTTCTTACAGTGGTTAATTATATCCCTTTCCTTATTCTGTAAAATATATTTGTAAAGTCAGGCAGGTGCTAAATAAGTACATATCTCTGAACTGTAGCTGCAAATTATTTCAGGAGAAAGTGGCTTTCTTTCATATGGAAAAAGTGATTTGATCCTGGGAAAAATAACAATTCCTCTCTAAAGAAAGTAGAAAGAGCTTAACATTTGTCAGTGAGAGATGAATGATTTAAGTTGCAAATTTCAGATGGCTAAATAAGAATAGGATTTTTGTACACTTAGATTAGGGAACATCTGTTCCTCCAATGTAATTGCTTAGTTGTAGGACAGCTTAGCATAAGTTGAGCAACTGTTTATAGTATACTTTCTCAAGAGCACATTCAAGCTGTCATTCTTTTTGTATGCATGCTAGATATTTTCTCTAGATTTAAAGCATTAACTTTAAAATAATATGCATTTGTTTTGCATGCTTCCCAGTCTTTGTACTTGCAATGGACCATGAATTCAAGGCTGTATGGAAGCATTACAGATACGCTTAACTGATACTGAAAAGGTTAGCTAAAGATAATAATACATGAAGGAAAGTCTAGGATTGTGGTTGAAAAGCTGCTGAGATCAATAAGACACATTCACATCTAAACGGAGAGGAATGTTAACACTAGTTGTAATATATAACATGCAAAGAAAAACCACCTGGAAGAACATACACAAATGGATATATAGTAGCTCCAGTTGTCTGGCATATTACCTATATGCCCAGGGTCTCGGTTTGGAGAGCTTATGTTAGTCAGAGTAGATAGTACTAGGCTAGATGAGATAGAACATCTCATGTTGAGCTACATTATTATGTTCAAACTGTACTTCTTATTTTGGTTTTGAATAACTTGATTTCCAGGAGGAAAATAATGTCCCCTTTACTTCTTTCTACAGGGTGAAGGAAATTGGCAGTACAATGTCAGGAAGAAAGGGCACAGATGATTCCATGACTCTACAGTCTCAGAAGTTCCAGATAGGGGATTACCTCGACATAGCAATTACTCCTCCAAATCGAGCGCCACCTCCTTCTGGTCGTATGAGACCTTACTGATATTTTGTCTTATATTACTGCCATCTGCAGATTCTCACTGATTAGTTTCTGCATTATCTTACTGATTTTTTTCTTCTAAATGTAAAGTAGAATACTAGAACACTTAGTAACCCTAGAAAGTATTGAAGTTAGTTTAAATTATGTTATTGTAAAAGGAGTGCCCTTAAGTGGTTAATTTTCTGTCAGGTTTTTATGAAGTTGGCCCGAGCAACACAGCAGTTTTCTGTATTTTTTAAAACTTGTTATGGAACAAATATATCATTAAGCCTAACTTAAAATATGTGATTAAAAGAATTGATGTATTTCATAAATACAGTTTTATTATAAAATGAACTAGAATGTATGTGGTGCTCATTCTTGCCTCAACAATGGTGTAGTAAGTAAATACAAAGAAAAGTGTGGACTACTCCAAGGGTATATTACTTTGATCAGTTCAGGTGCCACATTCTAAAAGTAGTTATGACGTTGCTTTATTTCTCTATAATTATTTACTTTCTCCCACCATGAATGCACCAGACCCCACCTCTGTGTATTACTGGGCTAAAGAGAAAAACGAATAACTAGTTAGTTTACCTGTAGATGATGCTGTAGCATTCAGTGCCAAAATCTAAGTGCTGGCAGACTGATTTCAGTTTTACCTTTTTTTTTTGGTAATAACTTTATTAAATAAATTTTTAAACAAGAAGGATAAAAACTAGCAATCAATAATTAAGATAAGGAAGAAAAGAGAACGGAAAGAGAGAACAAAGCCAAAAGTGCAGAAAGAAAGAAAAAAAGTAAAAGGAAATGACTTCCAATTTTCTTTTACAACAGCTATAGATTTAAATTGAACTATTTCCTCTAGGGTTACAACATAACTTTCATTTTTTCTATCTAATATTTTTTTCTAATCATCAAATGCATATATCATAATTTCATTTTTTTCTGTTTTGTGCAAAAAGTTCAAAAAGGGTTTCCAATCAGCATTGGACTTAATCAGTGTCTTTTCTGTGATCAAAGCTGTCAATTTAGCCATCTCAGCAAACTCCATCATCTTCATGATCTGCTCTTCCATTATGGGTGATGTCAAATCCTTCTACCGTTGTGCATATAAAAATCTCGCTGCTGTTATCATGTGTAAAAACAAAGTTCCATGGGTTTTTTCCAGCTCTGTCAATCAGTCGATTTCAATCTTACCTTTGAGAAGGAAAAAGTGAGGCTATACTTCTTTTCCTTTTTTGAATTGAGAGAAGGAACTTTCTGTTGCAAAAAGACACATGTTCTTTTGTCAGCAGAGGAAGCAATCAATGTCATAATTTCCTTATAAAAAAAAATCACCGCAGCTTTTTTTTTTTTTCCTTCTGGAAGAGAAAAGCTGCAGCTTTTTCAATAAGTGAATGCACAGGCAACATTGAAAGCTCTGCAGCACTAAAGGAAAACAGGGCTGCATAAGAAGAGAAGAGCAGAGAGAAAAGCTGTGAGAAGGATTGGGAACAAGGAAAGTATAGAGAAAAGGAGAGAGAAATAGTGGAAGCAAGTGTGGTGGGGAGGTAGATTAAGGAAGGGGGCAGCAGAGGAAGATTTACCTGGAAAAGGAGAGAGAGGAGGGAGAAAGTGAAGGATGGATAGAAAGCATGTTGTTTGGTAAAAGGAAAGAATGCTGTGAGAGAGATGAGCCACATCAACCCATCTGCCAAGCTGTAAGTAGCCTGGAACTATACTTTCTGTACTCCTGATGTTTTCTTGCATTTCCACCTTAGCAATTGGTATTCAGGTAGGATTTCATGGCTGTCATTGTCTCTTGAATAATCACAATGCCTATGGAAAGAAAATCACTGTCCTAGATAAAAAACAGAAGATATGGATACTGAAAAACAGTCACTTGGGTCCAGAAATGTAGTTTACTAGAAGAGTGTTACCGAGTAAAGTTCTGCTGCTGCTGGTAATAATAGAATGTGAATTTATCTTTGCTGATTCAGTTAAAATATTTTGGAGCGGACTGGAGACTATCCTTCCTCCCATGATAAAGTAGGCACCATAATTTATCAAGACATAAAATTCAAGGTTCAAGTTGTCACATTTTAGACATACATGAAGACCTAGCTCTCTAATACTGGGAAAGGTGAGAAGAAAGAGGATGAATACTGACCAAGTGGGTGGACTCAGTTACTGTGGCGATGGGTACACCATTGGAAGACCTGAATGGCCAGGTTGAAGACAGGACATCCTGTGATTAGATGTTTATGTTTGAATTGGCTTTCTGCAGCTTTCTGGTAACTTCAGATCCTCTCCCTCTGGCCATCGGCACCAGATCAACAGATTCCAAGCTGCATTGTCCTCTTTGCAAAGCTATCCCCTACAACTACCCTTCGGTGGTCTTGAATCAGTCTGGAACTGGCTATCTTCAGCAGCCCAAGACTGTGTAATGCCACCTTTCTTTGCTAGCTATTCTACTTCCTCTTTCCCCAACTCCTCCTGTGTCAGCTTCTTAGCTCATTTTAACTCTTCCCCTCCTCCTCCCAGTAAGAAACAGTGTGAAAAATAGTGTGAAAAGCTATCTGGATCTTCTCTCAACTATTTCCAAGATTCCCAGGTTATCAGCCATAAGTACAGTCTGCATGTCTGGAATGTCACATGTCATAACAATATCTCTCACCAATCACATGAGAGTCTCTGCATCTGAGAATGTGATGCTAATCCTCACTATTGCATTTTTGACCTTCTGTCTAGAAAATAGATGAGGTGGTCTGAAAATGTGACTGTACTGAAAACTTGTACCTAAAATGTTAAAATAATTTTCATTTTCTCATCATAGAACATTATTATTTTGACTGTAATCTTACTCTACTAACAATTCAAACTTAAACAAGTTTTAATGACAAAGCCTGTATTTTCCTCTAATAGACTATCAGCTTTACAGAAGTGTTACAGGCTTCTAATTTAATCCCTAAAATGTTTTCTGGAATTGATAAATACTGGAAAAGCTATTTTCTGTTAAGTAGGCAAATGATTAGGAGCAATTAATGTTTACTTATGTAACCTTTTCCTTAAAAAGAATTAAGTGTAGGTCTAGAAATTTAAAATATTCTACTGATCTTTATTAGGAGCATTAAAGTGCTTATGTGCTTTAGTCAGGTATTCAACTTTTTAAAAACTCCTAGTTGTCCCATATCAAGGCTGCTATAATCCTTGGTTTCTGAGAGGTGTCCCAGAAGCTTAATAAAATCTTTTATTAAGATTTTCACCTTGAGGTCAGATAAACAGTGAACTCAGAAGGATAAAACACAATACAAGAACCTTCTCTAGTATCTCTGCCAGTCTCCTCACCCCTAAACTGGGAAAAAGAAAGAGTGTACCAAGAGGCCATTATTTTCAAAACCTTTAATAATGTGTCCATTAAATTTTGAAATATATGACTTCACGGACCTCCTGAAAGAATCTCGGGGACCCCAAAACTTCTACCTAGCTGGAATATAATCTACATGAGTGCCAAAGCTGGCATAGTTTTATTCCATGTTTCTCAGTGGAATAGATTAAAAAAAAAAAGGGGGGGGAAGCTTCAAAGGACACTGCTGATAGCAATAAGATTGGTTAAAAAGGAACTTAGCTGGAATAGCTAGAATAAAGGATCATTAAAACGATAGTTTCCTTCAAGTAGAACTTAAATTCTGGTGACCAAAAGGGCACATTCATAGTTGTTTTTTTACAATAGCATGGAAGTTATTTGCTCATTTTTTTTCCCAGGGTGGTTTTTTGGCTCCAGTTTAATCAACAACCCTGGAATACCCTGGAGGTCTTGTTCAGACTTGGAGATTAGCCAAGGTTGACTAGATGCTGCCACTTGTTGAAGTAAATAATCATTTCAATGAATCAATACAGGTTAAGGGTTAAATAGGTATAATAAATACGTGACCCTTCTTTGTGTTTTTGCAATAAGAAAACAATGCCATCTAGATCAGTGGTTCTCAAAGTGTGATCGGGGGACCCCTGGGGGTCCCTGAGATTTTTCAGGAGGTCCGTGAAGTCAAATATTTCAAAATTTAATGGACACATTATTATATAACACATTATTTTCCACCTTTAATTTGAGATATCTTACAAGTGAGAATTTAGGAGTCTTTAGTTGCCAATTACTTCCCTACAGCAAACTGGAAATTCCAAACAAAAATGAAGACATCCAGATACTATATTGTATTACAGTACACATATACCCAATCTGGTTTATTTAGAACTGCAAACTCAAAACAAAATACATTTTATGTTTTTTTAGCAATAAAACATGGTTAAGACTATAATCATAACAGATGATGAGACTGTATATGCTAAGTATCACCCATTATTGAAGATTCTGAATCTTAAAAATAAAAGCTTTTCCATTTAGGTTTCCGTTTATTCAGCTCTGACTAGACTGTTCAAGAGATAAATACAAAGCCTTGGTACTTGTCTCATTTCAGAAAAGGAATTATGTTTGTTTCTAAGATACTGCTTATTAACCATTATTAGTTTTTCCAAGTTACAATTTTTAGACAAGTTTATTGGATTTTTTAAAAAAATGTATCTAACATCTTTTACATTCTTTCATAATTTTTTTCCTGATTGCTTTATACATTTTTCATTTAAGAATCCTTTTGATCTTATCCCATACAGCCTTTTATATCTTGAGCCATCATTGTTCTAGTTAATACTTGTAAAGATGTTTGACTTCTTATGGAGAAAAAGGATAGCTTCAGACTTGGCCTGTTGTGGATTCTCAGCTCAATCCTTGATAATCTTAGGGTCTGAGAAAGCTCTACAAAGAGTCAAGCAATGTATCCTGAATCTAAACCTGCAAAAGAACAGGAGCAATATTCCTGAATAATGTAACAATAGCCTTTGGAACAGCCCTTTTTCTTCCTATAGACATTCCTCATTTAGTGGCTATCTCAGTTAGTGACCGCTTGCAAATACAACGATAATAAACGGAAAAAAATAATTTTCTGACCAACATGCACACTTACTACCAAATTTCTGCACCTGACAATGCATGCCAGAGTGAGAGCGACAGTGGTGTAGCTTTATGACAGAACTTCATTTGAATGAAATGGCAGCAACCAATGATCTTTGCAGTGTCTCTCACTCTCTCTTCCTCTCAGTCACATGTTTGCTTAGCGACCATTTCTCTTCTGATTTAAGGAACGGATTGTGGTTGCTAAATGAGGAGAGGGTGTATACAATATTCTTTCTGTTACTTACAGAAGAGCACATACTCTCATAAGGCTTAATGCATTACCATCAAGGGCTCTAGAAAGGAGGCATAGTAACCTTCCCTTCCAGGACTGAATTGTGGAGGGTACCTTGCAAACTATCTATTGTACCATGTATCACACTCTGAATTAATATCATCCCTCCTTGTAAATTGCTCCAGCTGTTCTAAGGAAGAGAATACATTTTTCCCATTAGCTAATAAATCCTTAGAAACCTCAAAAAAGGTAGCAAAATACTGTTCAGTCATGATCAGGAAGGACACTCTGGGTATAATTAAGTTCTAATAGATTCTTTTCTTTTAATATTTTAGTTTTGTTCTTTTATTTTGTTTATTTTGTTTTATACAGAATTTTGGTTTTATGACCATAAATATTTCTTTGATTGATCATTGTTCCAACATTTTCTTGTTAGATATTATTCACATAACCTCATTTATTATTGATTTTGACAGCACTTACCCAGAACTTGTTGTGAATTTGCCTTAGACTTTTTGTATTTTCTGTTAATATAATCAATAATAATTTTATTACTTTAAGGACTGTTAGCAATTTCTTAGTAGCTTTCCTAGCAATTATGATATAATTAAACCCAACTATTATAAATCAACTATAGTATTATAAATGCATAATACAATACCCAAAGACATTGTAAATCAGTATTTTTGTAACATTAAAAGACAACATGATTAAGTAGAATAATTTGAACTATCAACTGACAGCATGAAATAGTTATATTTATGTTCTTTTATTTCATTTTAATAATTTTGACAGAAGTTAAAAAAAGATTGAATAGTTTGAAATTAAACAGTTATATTTATATTTTACAAAGTAGTTTTTTATTCCTATTACGTTTCCTAAAACCCCCTTAGTTTGGTAGTCAGAAGAAAAAAACTCAGATTTTGTCTTCATTTCATCCAGGGTGTTTTCTGCAAATGCAATAATGAAGCACTGTTTATATTGCACTCTTGTTTTATTATCTTCAGCTATTAATATACAGTACATGTCTCAATAGATACAAAAATTTATGTTATAAGATTCTCAATTAAGGAAATAGCATTCTGATTTTTAAATGTGTTAAGATTCCACTTCCAGACTTAGTTTCGATGGGGAATTGAAAAGCATTATAGTTATTTTTCACAACTTTTCATTCATTTCTTCCTAGAAATCTGACAGCTAGATTTTAATTGGCTTCATTCACTCCCACATCTTACCCACTTTGTCTTCTTCAGTGCATATTGCATATTAATTTATAAGCAAAGACATGATCATATCAAAGGCGTGTCTAATCCAAGATTTTATTCTTGCATTAGCCAACCAAATGCCTATGGCAACCCTATACTACCAGTCATAATGGGATACAGTGGTACCTCGGTTCACGAACTTAATTCGTTCTGCGACTCTGGTCGCGAACCGAA